AAAGCATAATATAAAATTTTAGTAATCGAACCTTTTGCTAACAATTTCGATACCGGAGTATCTTTCAAATCAGGCTCATAAGAAATAGAAAAAATATATTGTGCACTCTCAAAACCCACCAACTGCGTAAGAAGGGGAAGATTCCAATTACCATCCAGCTAAGTGTCAAAAACAAGAAGATTAAAATGCACCTCCTCTCTCAAATGCAAAGGAATCTGGGCCCAGCAATCATGCCAAAAAGAGAGGTTACCACACCCCAGCTCCCAATAAATAAAATCCTTAGCCCACTCTCTAATTTGTAACAGCTTCTTCCACACCCTACAATCACCCATCCGCCAATTAGCCAAGGAGGGTTGATATTATGGCAATATTTACCATGCATGAACACAACCCACAAGGAGTCCCCTTTCCGAAATTTAAACCATGATTTGAAAAAGTTTATGTTGGCAATATGATGAAGCGATTTAAAGCCTAACCCACCTGTGTAAGTCGGTTTCTAAATGCTCTTCCAAAGCAACCACCTCCTACCGGAGTGGCCACCCTCCAATAAGAAATTATTGAAACATCTTTCAAGGACAAATTGTGTACTCTTTTTAGTTTGTAGAACTTGTAACGCATACAACGACAAACTCTGTTGGATGCTCTTAAGCACAGTAATACAACCACCAAATGACAAGAAATTATTTTTCCAATCAAGGATTTGTTTCTACGACCTCATCTAATTGAGTTTGCCTTCTCCTACCCTTGAGTAAATTGACCACCAGGTATTTTAGCGGAAGAGCAATGAGAGAACCTGTAAAATTGGCAACCCAACTAGCGTTTCCACAATCGACGGTGTTGCCCATATACAAGTGACATTTATTTGCACTAAAAATAAGCCCAGAAACCAACTAGAAGTTTTCCAATAATTAATATATTTTTCTTGATAGCTTATTTGCTGGCATTAAAAAACAAAATAACATCATCAGCATAAGCCAAATGAGTGACCAGAACCTTTGATTTATGGGCGTAGTGCAAAGTAAGAACTTTACTATAAAGAACATTAATCAATCGAGAGAATTAATCAAAGACCAAGATGAAGATAGTAGGGAATAAGGGGTCACACTGCTTAATCCCACGACCAACACTAAAAAAACTATGAGAATTACCGTTAAGGAGGATGTTATACTTATTACAGTGAAGCCAGGTGTGAATTAGCTTACAGAAATCAGGAGTAAAACCTCTTGCTTTAAGGGCAGCAAGAACAAAATCTCCGCTTAAAGAGTCATATGCTTTACGGATATCCAATTTAGTAATCAAGTTGCCACCTCTGCATCTTTCTTCATTATCATAAATTAGTTCTTGAGCAAACATAATATTATCAATAATCCCCCAACCTTGGATGAAAGCAGATTGATTCGGAGATATTAAATGAAGAAGATGAGGTTGAATCCTTCTAACCAAAAGTTTACTAATAACTTTCATTACAACAGATGTAACAAATATAGGTATAAAATGCTCCCAAGGAGTTTTTTGAGTTGATTTAGGGATGAGGACAAGAGTGACAGCAAATAAGTAATTAGCAGGGGCCTCGCCCCTGAAAAAACTTTGAATGGATTCCACAACTTCTCTCTTAACACTACTCCAGCATTTAGTGTAAAAATCAGAGGTAAATCCATCCGGACCAGGGGCTTTATTACAATTAATTTCCAAAAGCACAATAAATATCTCCTCACCCGTAGGAATGCCACATAGATCTAGCTCCTCCGTGTACCGTCTCACATCATCAAAAAGATGAGTCTCAATAGTGCCTGAGGTCTCACGCGCTTCAAAAAACTTGGAGAAATAAAGAACAACACTCTCACCTTACTCATCCCTAGTTATCTAATTTCCAGTAGCATTCTTAATTTTAGCAATGATGTTGAGAGTCCTACGTTGTTTAATACATGCATGAAAATACTTTGTATTTCTATCACCTTGAGTAAAGTCTATCTCCCCAGCTTTTTGTTGCAGCAACTCTTCCTCCCAAAGAGAAGCCTCTGACAACTCTTTATATGCTTCCTGAAGATGAGGAACTAGATCGACAGAAGATTCATCAAGAGCCTATAACATAGTGACCATATGTTCAACCATTGTGACCCTTGCATGGACAGCCCCAAAAACTTCCCAGTTCCAAGTTCTCAAAGCAGACACCACTTTTTTATGTAACTTCCAAAGTATAAGCCAAGCATTGTCCACCTCAACACATCTCCAATTAGCTGCAATAAGTCTCATAAAATCATCGTGTCTTGCTCAAACATTCAAATATCTGAAGTGATATATAGAAAACTTTTTGAAAAAATCAAAGGAAAGGAGGAGGGGATTATGATTAGACCCAGAACTACAAAGATGTTGTACTTGTGAGAAGCCATAAGAGGTAATCCACGACTGAATAGCAAGAGCCTATCAAGACATTAAAAAAGTTTCCCCCTTTTCCAAGTGAACTTGGAACCTACAAAACCCAAATCAAAAAAGTCATGCAATTTTCATAGCCCCGTTGAATTTATCTATCAAGGCGGGGTCCACTCTCCTTCCTCCAAATTTCTCAGAATCATGCATAATCATATTAAAATCCCTGCCAACCATCCAATTATCTTGGATTAACGCTCCCACACTAGAGATTTTGTGCCAAAGGTCTTATCTGGCAGAAGTAGATGAACCAACATATATGAATGTCAGCCATCCCGAAAACTCATCCATTGAAAAATAGACATGCACAAATTGTCTATCATCAACAATAATATTAACTGTGATGTGCTTCCGCCAAAACAACCAATCTTATAAGAGAAATTACTAAAGAAAGAAAAATGGTTGAATTTACTCAGAATACGAATATCTGGAAAAGATACCATAGGTTCCAAAATAGAGAAAATGTCAACTTTATAAATCCTTGTCACTAATTTAAGTTTGTTAAGGGAGTAAGGATCCGCAACTCCCCTGATATTCCAAATTAAGACATTAAACATGGATAGACAACTTACCCTTTCTAGAAGATCTAGTCCGGATATGTCCATGATCACCCTTCGAATAATAATGATCCGCATCAGGCAATGCATTTCCCATCTTGAGATTTTCTAACTCATTATGGCCTTTATGATTTTTTCTGCGATATTTCTGAACTTGTCATTCTTCCCTCGTTATATTTGAAACCTCCTTCAAAGGGATGTCGAAGGCCACCGCAGCAGGGTCAGGATGGAGCATAGCATCCTCAAAATGATTAGTAGTTTCAGGAGGTGGGGGGTAGCTTCCCGGACATTAGGAAGACTAACCTCCTCAAAAGATTGATCCGCTCTCCTAACTCGAGGAGAAATAGGGTCAATATGTTTAGACGAAGGAGTGGTAATTTCCCGTTCAGTATGAAATCCAACCTCAGAAGGAGCTATATCCGCACCCCTAACTCGAGGAGTAGGCCCAATATAATTGGTATTCATGTCAGCATGAATAGTCGGAATCAATTCTTCCGCAGAGACAGTGTGGGTTGGGGGTGGTGGATGCACTTTGTAATAGGCTCACTATTATGATTCACCATATTCCGCTTCCGCAACTCGGGATGTAAGTGAAAACACTGAATGGGACCATGGCCAAACATACGATAGTGTGTACAATAAGAGGGATGTTGCTCTAATATCACCTATTGCCAATAACCATTGTGCGCAGAGCCGATCCAAACCTCTTCAGGAGGTGGTAAAGTTATATCATGCTCAATAAGGATTCTAGCCATAGAAGGTCTAGATAAAGTGTAGGTAGGGGAATCTATCTTTAGAGGTTTTCCAAACATTGCAGCTAAAGAAAACAGAATCTCGCGATTAAATAAATGAACCTTCAAACCAGGGAGTCTGATCCACACGGAAATAATAGGGGGTTCGGCTTTAGGTTCGAAATCAACCGACCACTTCAATATTTTCATAACAAAATCATCAAACCGCACCAAACGACGGACAAAAAGCCGTGTATAATCTTCCTCGCTAGTCGATTGAATCAAGATGTGCCTACCATCCAAAGGGGCCGATTTTCCAACCTCCAACCAGTTTTATGAGTTCAAAATATTTTCGGAGAAATTCCAATTTAGGATGACCATACACGAATTTCCCCACCAGAACGAAACGACAGGATGTAGCCAGATTAGCATTCTCAGAATCAGAAAGGAAAAGAGCGAGCTTACCTCCTTTTTTTATCAAGTAGCATGATGAAGCTAAACTCACTAACGAGGGCTAGCGAGTTGTGGTAAGCGGGAAGGAAAACCAGGTTATTCGAGACACCATTAGCATTGCCATCGACGGTGACGCCGGCGTAAGACCGTTCCATGACCACATAAGCTCAGCTCCATGAAATCGCCAGAAACCCTAGCAGAGCCAAAGAAACCATCGTTGCCTTATACATGTCTATATATATTCTTATTGAGAAAGAAATTTAAAAGGTTACATTCATCAACTGATTCGTTGCAATTTATTTTTGCTGTTAAAATTCATTAATTAAATCATTATATAAACCCAAATTTTCCTTAACGAAGTTTGCTCGGGTCAATCTTCCACCTCTAGCTTGCACACTTAACCTCCTTTAATTCCCCTCCAATCTGAAATTACACACACACACACACACACACACACATATTCCTATTGAGAAAAAAATTAAAAGGTTACATTCATCAACTGATTCGTTGCAATTTATTAAATGCATTTTGTTTATAATTTTCCCTTCGTCTAAGGGCCGGTTATCAGTATACTTGGCTCTTAGTTTATTTCTAGTTTAGGCTCACAAATTAGATCATTTTTTTCCTATAAATATTTCACCTCTTCTAACAATTGGAATAAGAAAAATGTGCATTATTCTTCTATATTTACAACAACAGAGCTTCAAATGAGAAAGTGAAGTTCAAAGAAGACGAAGCAAAAAAATTAAGTGCATGGCTAAACCAAATACTGCTTATAGTAACATTAATTCTAAGATCCACGCAGAATTAGTTATTAGAATTCACCAGCTACCTGTCTGAATGGTTATAAATTTTCACTAGCTCGTCATTAGATGACCTCGTCCCTCTAACAACATTAATAGCACCAGTAGCCATGGTACCTGAAACGTATCAACAATTAAATGATGCAAGACCTAAATTTTTAATCATTATACACTATCATCGTTTTCTACTCCAAAGCACAATGCTTGCCTATGCTTCAAATTTATAACAATGTAATGGAATGAAACCATACAACTTCTTAAAATGTTTAACTGTATAAGTGAGATGATAATATGATTGTCAACAAAATTTCAGGTATCAACCATAGTTGAGTTTGGAATAAATTTGCATTTCCAGTAAGACAATAACCCCTACATGAATGAAGCAAATATTTATTTCCATGGAGCTAGGGCTGATATTTGGATGAAACTATTGGATTACCACCAATAAAATGTTTAGCTTTCCGTAGCGATGACTGTGCACATGCACCCCAATTTGAGACATTAAAATGGCAATAACAGAGAGCCAAAATTTGGAAGAGCATAGGTTGGAGAGTTTTAAGTAAAACTGAAATGAAATATTGGTATATAGGTATTCTACTAATATAAATAGTGAAGATGATCATTTCTAGATATAAACTTAGCAGATAAAAAATCAAGATGAAAATAATGAGGAAGCACCTTGATCTGCAACAAGCCACCGGGATGAATTGTCAGCAAATAGTGCTATCTTCTCTTCTGGAAGAAGACCAACAACCCTTAAACCTTCAGAAAAATCCAAAATATCCTGCTCAAGCTGCCAAAGGGAAAAGGAAATACTAAGAAAAAAATTATGTTCCGAATGCCATATAACTGTGCTGCATCCTATGAAAGAGATATGCTAGTGCAAGGTTGTTGATCAAGCACGCTACAACTAGTTTTACTCCAAACCTAGCAAAGCCATCATTTTATTATTCAATCTTTTATGGGCAATGCATAAAATAAGTGGATGCCAAACATTGTCATGGACCTCTAACATGGTTTAATATAGGGGTTTTCATCAGAATTGAGGACTCAGTGCAGAGAATAGCATGTCATTCAAGCTGTCAGATGGCACTTACATCATAAATAATGTGTTTTCCTCGATTATCAGCTAATTTCTCAAAATCTAAAACCCACAAAATGCATTTTAGAATGGTGACAAAAAGTTGGTGTACACAAAAGTTATTCACGAATATAAAACATCATAAATTTTAGTTTCTAAGAAAATAAGTACTTAAAAATTAAATAGGTTAATTGCTAATAAAATAACAGGAGTCATAAAACTTTAGTTTTGGTGCCATTTCAATCCATCAATAGGTACGCAAAGATAGGAGAAAATGAAAAAGAAGCATAAGAAAAGGTGGCATTTACATATATGCCACAAATTTATTAATAAAACTACATTAATATTCTTTGAAGATGGGAGGTACCAAACATTAATGTTCTTAATTATTTAATACTTTTTAAATAGTCATAATTAAACAAATCTAATCGTGTTGATTACGTTAAAATAATCATAATTATTTGATATATATTGAATACTTATACTCTTGGATTTTGGCCCAGACATACTTAAAACATAATTCCAAAAATAACCCAATTTCATAGGTTTTTTAACGATGGGACTATTTCAACTTTTTTTTTCAGTAGATTGGGATTAATTTAACACTTTTTAAAAGTCAGGGACTAAAATGAAGCCCTTCAAATAGTTGGAGAACCATTTTATCACTTTTCTCAATTTAGAATTTACCAACTGTCCATCGCATGAAATGCAAGACAGAATTAATCAATCAGAAAAACTATTATAATGTGATGCTGAAAAAGGAAGCAACATTTACTTACCTGCTTGTAAGTTCGCTCTGTGGGAGGATCATGGTAGAGATCCACCAAAGCTTTCCGATGCCCATATTTCTCTGCTGTTGATTTCCAAATATCTGGAACTACCCTCCACTCATTCGAGTCCAAAGGCTTAGCATTCGACAACAAATTCGCCTCCAATATAGGCGAGCATTTTCTTCTAAACACACGGTTTACCTGCATTGCAAGTAAGAACTGTTTAACAAGAAAAAAAATAACGTTTACCACAATAAAGCATTCTAAAATGACAGATATTTTGGTCAAGCCAAACCTCAAATTCTCACAGCGCAACACATCTTAATACAATCAAATCTTGCAGCATGAAAGATCAAAATTTAATAAGGGATCTCAAATGGACATCACAAACACTGCTGTGGCTAATCACCTTTTACCTCGTGTTCTCATATACATGCCCTATCATCATGCGCCTCTTGCCATCACATATCTTCGCCTCACTGTTTGATACCTCCTGCAACAAAGTAGATTGAGACCACACACAACAGGGGGTAAGACGGGGGCTCCCTAGACCTCTTAATTCTATCAAGAAGCAGTTGCAGCCGTCCAACATGACCACAAGAAGCTGCTACCTCCCCCAGTCCAAATACGCAAAAACAAGTTGTTGCCACACTTTTCATAGCTAGAGCAATTTGAGAAGCTCTCAATTAGGGATGGCCAAACCAAAAGTCGGCTACTTTACTCAAATATAAATATTGGAGGCTAACATCTACATCAAACTAGTCCAAACACATGGCCAAATAACACTATAAACTGGATTTAAGAAAACTCAAGTGAACTCATGAAGAAAATGAAAGGCTAAAAGTCACCAAATTAAAGAGGAGGCAAACTTACACTTATCCAAGCAAGGCTAGCCACATAAATTAGTCAAAACCTACCGTGCAACCATTTTTTATGAGTTTATATATCGCTTCCAAAATAAGAGATTATTGTATGCCCAAAATTTAATCAAATTATGACACAGTTGTGTTGTCTTACAAAGGTATCCTTTCTTACATTCTCCCATGGTCGAAGCTTCAAGAAACCCAAGCACTGTAAAATACATGGTGAAGCAAGTGAACTCTCTACTTGGGTGAGGATTTAAGAAATTTGTATTCAATCTTCTTTCAGCATATTCATATCTAGATGATTTCCTTTTATCTTCCTTTAATAAAAAAACCTTAAGGATATCTTCAGTAATAAAATGTTGATTTGTAAAACATCATCACAGAACAGTGTCAAAGGTTCTACAAATGTCTTTGGTGCACCATTGTCACAGGAGCCGACTTTTCAGCATTAAGCTTATATGGTATGTTAAGTTTAAATAATAGTTTATTCGTACTTCTTTTGAGTTTGGATACTTTTATTAATACACTTCTAATTTTGATTCCTTATTTGCATTGTGTTTCGGCTCAATGATTGTATTAGTAATTGAGCCCTAGTTCTTAAATAAAAATAGTGTTTGTATTTTTTTCTTATTTAATGTTATTATTTTTATTTCTTGTATATTAATTTTTCCTTTTGTGAGCACAAAAAAATTTATAATTTTTCACACACCTTATGCTGTCGAGATGCACTAACTTCCAAACCTGGGGTGTGAGAGAATAACATCATAGCCACATTTTGCTTTTAATATTCCTTATCTTTGTAAGGCTTCGCAGTGGGATATGTTATTTTAGACTATTTGTAATAATTATTATTGTCTTATTATATTATTTATATGATTATTTGGTTACTTAATTTATTTTGATTTTGTGTGATTTCATTTATATAGAGCAGTGCTAAAGAGAAGAGTTGCTGCTGCCACTCATAGGACAGCAGTCTCAAGAGTTACTACAGAGATTATAAATTCCCCTAGAAGCCCCCGCTCTTCAAGTTGTCATTGTGTTGATCGTACTCAACCTATCGGGACTACTGGAACACTAACTCCCAATATTGATACTCTCATGGAGATGATGACACAAAGCTTTACACAGACATTACAAATAAATATCGCAGCTCAAGTCACGCAAGTAATTAAGTCTATCCAACAACCAGATCAACCAGCACTGCAAGCAACTAAATCTGCATAATAAGAAGCTACACATATACCAAATGGCACTGTCGGATCCAATGTTAATCAATCCATAAGCAATGCGTTAATATCTCAACTAACATAAGTCATCAGGACTACAATATTGATGCTAGAATTATAATGCAACAAATTATGACAACTAATATGGTGCGATAGAATCACACTGATGGCTACATGATATATTGTTGAGAAAATTAGGGCGAAGAAAAACAATAATCGACACAAATCCAGAAGAGCACAGATTTAACGAGGTTCGGCAAAGATGCCTACATCTTCGGGAGCAGAGCGGCGGCTTACTTTCAATATTCAGAAAAGAGGTTACAGAATAGATGGATACCTCTTGGGGTTACTAACAGACATATTTATAACCCCAGGAGTAAACCCTAGGTACAATACGTAATTACAACATTACCCCTGTACCGTACCGCGGGGCGTTGTCCCCGCCTCGGACCCCCAACCCACGTAACTTCCCGATTTGGACAGATTCTTCCGCTCCGCTCCACTTCGATCCAGCGTCTGTCCCTTTATGGTATATGAGTCATACCATAACAAATCTCCACCTTGGCGAATATCCAGCCTCTTAGGAGAAAAATACCTGGAGTTACACCTGCACCACTGTGGGTTGGGTCATCATGCTTCTCTAGCAACTGCAAACATTCAACAAGTCCAAGCAATGCAAGAACTTGTTGATAGTAACTGGCTTGGTCAACATATCAGCTGCATTCTCATCAGTATGAACCTTCTGCAACAATATCTCCCCAGAAGCAATCAACTCTCTGATCTTGTGATACCTGACATCAATGTGCTTGGTTCTCGCATGGTACACCTGGTTCTTAGCCAGATAAATAGCACTCTGACTGTCACAATGCAACTGAACTCCACCTTGCTCAATGCCCAGTTCCTTTATTAGCCTAGTAAACAATAAGTCTTCTTTAGCAGCTTCAGCTACTGCCATGTACTCAGCTCCAGTTGTAGATAACGT